GGTCATGCTGGTGTGACTATCATGCCTTGGTTCTCTCATGCTACTCCCAAGGTTGACTTCGACGAGTCCACTCTCACTGCTTTGGATAACCATGTTCAGGGTGCCGGTACTGATGTTGTCAACGCTAAGGCTGGTGCTGGATCTGCCACCCTTGCCATGGCCTATGCAGCCGCCGAGTTCGTCGAGGTTGTCATTCGTGGCATGCACGGTGAACAAGCTAGCGCTTCCACTTTCTTCAACGAGCCTTACGGTGATGTTCAATACTTCTCTTACTTGTGCGACTTCGGACCTGAAGGCGTCTCCAAGATTCATCCCATTGAGGGCTTGAGCGAACACGAGGCCGGCAGGCTCCAGGAAGTCATCACTAAGCTGAAGGTTGATGTTCAGAGGGGCATTGACTTTGCCAACAAGCAGGAGTAAGTTAATCTCCTACAGCTAACTTATTGAGGGATGTACTTCCCTCGAATAACCGTCTGCATTTTTCTCTACAGCTATCCTTCGTTTAATTGTGGTAATTCTTTTACCTGATGTTCTTCGCGATGTTGTCGTGTTATCGAGTTACGGATAATTGACGACCGCTTTGACCGAATCTCAAGTGCCACTGGAAGCTACTTGTAGTAGTTGCCTGTCTGAACAAATAGTCTCACCACACTTAGTGGGCCACCAAAACCGATAACGGAATGGGACTCGTAATTTTATAGAACCACAATAACGATATCGTCGCCCTCAAGCTAAAGTCTCCAATGTTACATGACAATACTTGCTGTGTATCATTGGTTTTGCTGCCATTAGACATACGTGATTTATAGATTAGCTTCAATCACTGAGCCCTGTTGGCATCTGCACTTCTCTCAGTGTGGTCAGTTTCATCACACGTCTCACTTAGACCTTCTGAACTCTGGCAAACCTGTCACAGGTTCCCTGTGAGACTTCGTAGTATCGTCTGTTCGAATAGGTATCCACATCGCGAATATATTTTGCTACTGTACTCCTGTCGTCTTAGACGATTCGTCTGTTCGTCTAATTTTTGTGCATTACAGCGAGCATTTGGTTCGTCGGGCTACGACGGTCGGAGAAGAGTGTAATGTACCTTGATCAACTGCTGTTCTACACTAGTAGATATTCCTAGTAACACTCAGTATTATACTCTACTGTCATCCCTCCCCAGCCTTAATGCTCAAGCATAACCAACTCCAAGTATCGGATAGTGCAATGCTGCTGTCCTCTAGACATATCTTAGCCATCGAAAGATCATGAAGCTAAGCTCGAAGCTAGTTCGTATTATGCCAGTTCCATTTCAATTACCTAATCAACAGTTTTTTGTTCCTTTCATAGTTATGTCATCATTCAAGGTCGCTCTTCTCGGTGCTTGCGGTGGTATCGGACAGCCTCTCGCTCTTCTCTTGAAGCTCAACCAGAAAATCTCTGAGTTGGCTCTTTACGATATCAAGCAGGCTCGTACTCCTTGCGCCGGTGTTGCTGAGGATTTGAGTCACATCAACACCCCCGCTGAGGTTAAGGGTACGCCGGTGAGGAGGACTCGAGGCTTGCCTCACTGGAAGCAAGCTCATCGTCATCACTGCCGGTGTTCCTCGTA